CCGGGAGCGGCCACTGCACTCCAGTCTGGGTGACAGAGTGAGATTCCAACTCAAAAAAAAAAAGAAAACATACAAAATATAAATACAACTGTGCACAGGTTGAAATTCTATGCTAATATATCTAATGCTGTGTTTAATAACTAACATGCTTAAGTTACTTTAAGGGTACTGTGAATGGAGTCATGCAGAGGCTTTGATGTTTGTGGATAAAATTAATGACTTAGAGGTATCCATGCCTTCCATTTATTGCCCAAGTTCAATCTCTAAATACTCTTCTCTAGCTTCTTAATATGTTCTTACATGTTTTTGTGACTAGAGTCCATTTCAAACTTAAAATGTATTCTAGTCCAGGTTATTTCCCTAAAGTACAGACTTGATCTTATCATTCCACAATCCAAAATTCCCTATTGAATTCAAACACTTTTACAACCTTAAATGTGCATTCAAATGTTTTCAAAATGTACATTATATCTATATGCATCTGTTTCTATCACCCAGTTCACAAATATTTTTCTGATATGAATATAACCTCTAGAATTAATTTTTGGGTTTTGGTTTTAATTTTTTAGACATTCTTAGTATGATCTATCCTAATATATCCTGAATAAATTAAGCACTTTTATCAGTCTTTGTATATTAACAACAAAACAACAATGCTGATGGCATAACACCAAGCATTAAAAAAAAAAGTTTCCAGACAAATAGGCCCAGACTTATACCTTGTGGAGTTGGAGTCTACATGCTGGTGTGAGCCCTAAACGCATTAAGTTCACATCATACGGTCATGGAAGGCAGTGATGGCGTCAGAGAGAAAAGGGATGCACTGTTTATCACACAGAGTGGTCAGAAAGGCCACACTCATGTGATGAAGGGGTTGGCTATGCTAACCTCAAAGATTCAATGACCGAGAAAGGAGAGCAGCAGTGGGCAGCCAGCAGAGAAGTAGGAGCCTTTTAGTTTGACACAAACCTTTTGCTTATTTTAGCTTTTTTTTTGGTCTGTGTTTTTAGGGTCATATCCAAGAAACCATTACCCAGACCAATGTTTTGTAACATTTCCCCTGTATTTTTTCTAGTAGTTTTATAGTTTCAGGTCTTACATTTAAGTCTTTAATTCATTTTGAGTTGATTTTTGCATATGATGTGAGATAAGGGTCTGATTTTCTTCTTCTAATGTATAATTTTTTCAGCACCACTTGTTGAAGATATGTTCCTTCTCCATTGCGTGTTTTTGGCAGCTTTGTCAAAATCAAGTGACCACAAATGTGTGGGTTTATACAAGAGATTTTGATATGCAAGTCAGAAATTTTACGATTAGTTTTGGGCCAAATTGACCATTTTTTTTT